TTGACTTTTCGTAAGGAAATAAAAACTCAGTTTGGTTGTCGTATACGTACTTTATGTTCCAATAAAGCTCAGGATTATGAATCTAATCGTTTTTCAGCTTATCTCAATAAAACTAGCATTATTTATCAGACTTTTTGTGTTTACACCTCTTCACAAAATGGTGTTGTTAAACGCAAGAACCGTCATTTGTTGGAAGTAACCCATGCCCGGTTATTCCAGATGAATATTCCCTGATATTATTGTGGTGATGCTGTTCTTACTGCTTGTCATCTTATCAATCATATGTCATCTTCTGTATTAAATGGGCAAAGTCTATATTCTGTTCTTTTTCCTAGTAAGCCCTTATTTTTCCTTACTCCTAAGATTTTTGGTTGTGTCTGTTATGTTCACAATTTGGGTCCTGAGTTTGACAAACTTGACCCTCGAGCTACTAAATGTATATTTCTTGGTTACTCACGCACGTAGAAGGGGTATTGTTGCTATAGTCCTTCTCTGCACCGATATTTTACTAGTGCCGATGTCATGTTTGAAGAATCTGTTCCATACTTTCTAGTACCTTCTCAGCCCTTGGATCTTCTCCTATATCACCCTCTCTTTCCTCATCTTCAGATGTTCCGCTGCCCATTGTGTTATCATCTCCTTTACCTTCCGTGTCTACTCTCGTCATCCTCGCCCATTGACTGAGGTGTCCGCACCGTCTTCCTTGTCGCCTTCTGATCTTGGTACATCAGGTAATTTAGACTCTTTACCTATTGCTATTCGCAAAGGTACTCGTTCCTATGTTACTAATTATTTCATTTCTCATTTTGTTTCATATGATACATTGTCTCCCGTCTTCTCCTCTTTTACTTTCCAATTATCTGTTATATCTATTCTTAAGCATTTACAGGATGCATTATCTGATCTGGGTTGGAGGAAAGCTATGGAGGAGGAGATGAATGTTTTACATCATAATGGGACTTGGGATCTAGTTCTATTACCTTCTGGTAAATGAACTGTTGACTGTCGTTTGGTATATGCTATTAAATTTCATCCAGATGGTTCTGTGGAACGTCTCAAAGTCCGGCTTGTTGCAAAGGGTTTTACTCAGACTTATGGTGTTAATTATGAGGAAACTTTTTCTCCTGTTGCCAAAATTTTCTCTGTTCATATCTTGATTTCTTTAACTGCTAATCTTGATTGGCCCTTGTTTCAGTTAGACGTCAAGAATGCCTTCTTACATGGTGACTTGGTTGAAGAGGTATACATGGAGCAGTCACCTGCGTTTATTGCTCAGGGGGAGTATGGTAAGAGTGTATGTCGGTTAAAGAAATCTTTGTATGGTTTGAAGCAGTTACCGAGAGCATGGTTTGGTAAGTTTTTAAATGCAGTTTTAGAGTTTGGTCTTTTTCGATGTCAGACAGATCATTCTGTGTTTCATAAACAGACAGAGGCTGGATATGTCCTATTGGTGGTCTATGTAGATGATATTGTGATTACTAGAATTGATTCTGAGGGAATTGCTAAGTTAAAAATATTCTTACAAGATCGATTCATGCTAAGGATTTGGAAAAATTCAGGTATTTCTTGGTATTGAGGTGACTCGATCTAAACAAGATATTTGTTTATCCTAGAAGAAATATGTACTTGACATGCTTGAGGAAGCAGGTTTACTGGGTGGTAGACCGATTGATATTCCTATGGATCCAAATCAGAAATTATTGATGGATGATGGTGCACTGTTTGAGAATCTGAGTCGGTATCGCAGATTGGTTGAAAAACTTAATTATCTCACTATTACTCGACCGGATATTTCCTATTCAGTCAGTATAGTAAGTCAGTTCATGAGATGTCCTAGAGTACCACGTTAAGAGGCAGTTACTCGTATTTTGCGATATCTCAAACGAGCTCTTAGACTTGGACTGTTATATTGAGCTAATGGACATCTTAGAGTGGAAGGTTTCTCAGATGCTGATTGGGCTGACTCTATTTCTGATCGGAGATCAACAACTGGTTATTGTACTTTCTTAGGAGGTAATGTTGTCTCATGGAAAAGTAAGAAACAACCCGTGGTAGCAAGATCCAGTGTTGAGGCTGAGTATAGGGCAATGACACATACGACGAGTGAGTTGACTTGGCTACTACACTTCCTCCAAGAAATTAGGTTTCCAGTTCAACTTCATTTACAGTTGTTCTTGTGACAACCATGCAGCTATCCATATAGCTGTCAATCCTGTGTTTCACGAGAGAACTAAGCATATTGAGGTTGATTGTTACTTTATTCGGGACAAGATAGTAGCTAGGGAGATTACAACTCCATTTGTGAAATCTAAAGATCAGCTTGCAGATATGTTTACCAAAATATTGAGTCGTACACGTTTTACAGTTATTTGTTCCAAGCTTGGATTATATGATATATATAGTCCAACTTGAAGGGGAGTGTTAAGAATAGTAGCGTAGAATGTGTAATTTATTAACAGTAAGAGGGTGTATGTATAATTCTTATTATTGTAGGTTAACTATAAATATAAATGATATATGAGAGCTAGGTTATGTTCTTAACCTCTCTCTGTTTCTCTCTAAATATTATCTCGAATAGTGTGTTAGTCCTCCAAACTCAACAATAATATAAAATGTTGAATTTTTTTTACAGGAACAAGGATACATTGTTTGGGACCATTGCTCAAGTAATAAAATAAAAAAAGAACAGGATAAACACAAATTATAATTCCATGCGCGATGCGTCGCACACGACACCTAGTCTATAATATAAAATAAAGCAGGCTTTAATAAGCTCATCCGACAATCTCAAATACACTCATCCAATAGCCACCAACATCCCTCTTTAAAGCATTTACATTGAATTTTACTTTACTCCTCATTCTTCACTCTATCTCTCTCTCTCGAATCTTTAATATCTATATATAAAGCAACTTATTAAATGTTTGCTTAGAACCCCTAAGAAAAAGGCCCCCAAATTAAGTACATGTCTTTATATTATTGTTTAGATGCTGTCCAAATTAATTTTAAAATAGTAAACCCATATTCTCTATCATCAATCACTCCCTCTTTGATTCCTGGCTCTCTTTCAATTAACATGGATTCAACATATATATAATAAAGTAAAATATAATTCAAATTTCAAAAGATAAATAAAATAATTTTTTTTTTTTTTGTGATTGAGATCTCGTTAAATTTATTTTAAAGTTAATCTGATGACTAATATGAACTCCCCAAATTTAATAGAAAAAATATGCTCTTAATGGTATATTTGTGGAGATTTTTCAAAACTGTTTCTATGACTTATAACTTTTTATAAATACTTTAAAAAGTAGTGTTTGGAACTAACTCACCACCACTGATGTCACCCCACCACCACCGTCGCCATCGCCACCCTACAACCACCACCACCACCACCACCACAATCACCAATTATTACAACTGTCGTCCACCAACCATCACCACCCATCATTGCCCACCGCCACTGCCACCCATTGTAACCTATCACCACCAGCACCGCCGTCATTCGCCACTACCCCTCACAATGTCGCCCAAAAACATCTGTCGTCACCCACCACCACAACCCATCATCGCCGCTATCACCACCATTGCCAACCACAATCACCGTCGCTCACCACCACCCACATCCACCACCGTTACCGCCATCACCCATAGCTATCATTACCACCATCGTCACCCAAAACCCACTACCACCACCACCGCGATAGTCACTATCCATCACAACTATCACTGTCTCCTACCACCACCACTGCCACCTATCATCACTACCACCGCTCACCCCCACTATAACCGGTACTTAAATTCTTTTCTCTCCCTTCTATGCTTTTGATTTAATTTTGAATATGAATATAAATATATTTATTATTGATCATTTTTTTTATTACTTCATGCCTTTTTAAGCACGTGCAATAACTAGTAATTAATAAGCAAAAGAATTCTCCAACAAAAAATGCTTTCTCCAATGCATCTGCAAAATCCTCAATACTTAGTACTCGCCAATTAAATTGTTGTATCGGCGACTACTACCTTCCATGCTCCGTTCGCACATATCAATCCCATGACTTCTCCGATTTTATAGAGAACAAGCATTTCATAAGTTATAAATTATCCAGTTCAAGCTTATTAAGTTATAAATTTATTATTTTGTCCATAAAATAAACAAAAACATTAATAACTAGACAAGATTGATGATTTTTTTGCTAAAACGTAAGTAGTACTTTATTATTCCACTCTTAATCCAGTGTCTTATTAAATACTAAATCATAATCCGTACTATTTTCACCACTTATAATTTTTGATATTTTAAATGTATCTGTGGAAACTTCTTATATTACACTAATAACCCTATCAAATTTTGTCTTCTACAATTCCTAACGCATTATATATTTTCAATTGTGCCCTTATTCTTGTGTCGAAAACCTCTTTCCTTCCAAACACTCTAATCAGCAATGCACTATCCTTGGGTTTGGCTAGATACCATTTCAAACTAGTTATTGATCAAGTCATTTTCTTCCAAAACTATAGTTATGGGCTATGAAAAAAGAATGCCATCTTGTAAAATAGCTTTACTACCTTCCCCATTCCACTCCACCAAATCATCACAATTGTCTCCATTGCTCGATCACTGATCATGAAAGTTCAGATCAATCACAATAGTGACGTCCCGGAAAAAAGGCATAATTCTTCTTCTTTGCCCCACTAAAACCTGACAAGAACTTCAGTATGAGCCTAGCCGCCCCATTGTGTGGAATCTAGTGTCCCTTGGGTCAACATAAGAGGATTAAAGGAGCTTTTGAAAAAGTGGAAAAAAACATGAAAAACCTAAAAAGAAAAGAATCAAATACCTCACCCACTACTTTATATATGGGTGCAAGCGTTGATTGACAACCCCAATCATTGAAAGCTCTTCCTCTTCTTCTTTCTTCTTCTTCCTGGCAAATATATTTAGGTTCAAGTTGATCTTTCAAATACAGAGCAATTCGATCAAACCCTCATACTGAATGGCTAATGTAAGCTAGCTAGCTCCTTAGTACAATTATGCAACAAGTTTTTTCTGCTAGTGTACAGGTTCTTTTTCTTTAATGACTTCAATGAATTGTTCTCTTTTTGCCTTAGGTGGTAGAGCTGAAGGTGGGTTTGCACTGTGAGGAGTGCATCAAGAAAATCTTGAAGGCCATTAAAAAGATAGAAGGTATATATTTTTTGTTTATTGCCTTAATAGCTGCACAATAATTAATTTTTTTCCAAAATCTTGAATGGTACTAGCTCGTGTTTGTCAACTAAAAAGTTCGAGGTTACTCAAAAGTGGTAATTAACAAAAATTGTTTTTGGCTATCAGATATTGAAACATATAACGTCGATGCACAGCTGAACAAGGTCACAGTGACCGGCAACGTAACAACGGAAGAAGTCATGAGGGCTCTCCATAAGATTGGGAAGCAAGCAAGCAATTGGGAGGAAGGTCCAGTTGCTCCAGTATCATAAACTATATGAGGACTTGCATATAATTAAGCCCACGGATCAAGTAGTTGTTCAATTTCACAAGAGTGATTATGTAGAGATCAAAGCAGAGATTATGGCGAAAGAGAGCAGAACAAATCAAAGAAGAGAAGAGCAACAATTTATGATCCTACAAAGAGGGAGAGAGAGAGAGAGGAACGTATTACTTCTTAATGTAGACTTGATCTTTTTTATCTTGGTGGTTCTTTCCTACAAAGCAGATTGCACCTATTAGAGCTATGTAAAAATGGGATGAATTCAGTCTCTAAGCTTCCATGATTCTATTCTTATGAACTAAAATCTGTGACTTGAAAGTCTCTGAATTCTTAAGACAATAATACAGGTGAAATACTTCGTTCAATCATTCATTGGTGAATGGAGCAAGAAGAAAATAGGTATTTTGGAGCATACCCAAATAAGAACCGAACATTTTCTTGTTACCAATTCATGAGTTACCAAAAATTAACCATGGTCACTCCTTGCGAGTGTGCATGTGTGAGATAGAGTGAGAAAAAGAGAGACTGATTAATACCTTTAGAAATTATAATTCGCATGGTTATGTGGGACACGAATTTGCACTCTTATTACTAAGTGACTCGTATGGATCCCCTCGGGCCTTACAAAGCCATTGGAAAAGCGAATGATCTCGGGCCCAAATAATAACAATAAACGGACATGTGAATTCCTTAGATGCGACAAATAGCAAGAAATGATTAGTTGTCCCGTGACACCGCATTGGGACCACAGCATTTCCCATAATATTCGACTAAAGACATGATCCATACTGATGTAGAATGGTCGAGCAAGGAATCATTTAGTTATTGATGCGCATCTCATAAATGTTCGACACAACTTACTAAATACTAGACAAAAGAATTAAACGTTTAGATAGCGTGCACTTAATGCTCAATACCGCAAGTTAGGGCAATTTATATCTAAGGATGTAATATCTGCTTACTTGATGTAACTTACAAAATATCAAGTTATTATCTCTTTAAGGTATAAATTGCCCAAGGGGTTAAATCTTAAGTACGCACTTGCAACCAAGTTAATACAGTACTCACAATCCTCTAAGCTTGATCACCGACTAACATCAGATGGAATACGTTGGACATATCTTCCTCCCCCTCTACCTAACCTCGGTCCTTATTACAAGAACTCTAATTCATTTACCATGTTTCACTATCTCAACTATTGAGCAAGATTCAACCCGTGCATCATGCATTTCACATCAATCATACCAATAATGAATCTCAAAATAACAAATTGGATAAGATACAATAATTGTCCCTAATGTTGCATTATGTTTCATCTCATTCTCTTCCCTATTTTTGTCCCTTGTGTTATTTTTGCCCCTATACTCGAAAAATAAAATTAATAATCAAGGAAACAAAGTAACATTCTACGGGACGAAATTTGCTAAAATTACATTTTATGTTATCCATGATCAAGGTTGAGTTCTATTTTACCAGAACTTTCGGTTCATTCCATGAAAAACCAGTGATGACTTAACTTGAAACTCTGGCCGTTAATGCTAATTGTGGTTGCCCATATCCAAGTCCCATGCTCCATCCATTCCATAGATCCTCTCCGAGTTGGCCGTTGGCCTGTAGGAGGGGTCTTCTCTCTCTGGTCTTGTTTCACAAATTTTTAGTTTTTATTGATGTGTTATTACTATTTTGTTTGTAAATTGCCACAAATTTTTGTGGGTTCACACCTAGAGTCCACCATTGTGAGGTTGGATGGGTGGTCGGTCGCCCATGGAAGGGGAGTTTCCTGGGGAAAAAGAAAAGTTCTGCAAGGTTAATATTCTTCTTCATTCACCGGGCATTTGGAACTGTAATGAAGACAGAGGCTTCCTAGATTACGCTTTACCACGCCTTCTATTACAAATGGCTGCAATTTTCATCATCACTCAATCTCTTCATGTATTGCTTAAGCGCATTCACTTTCCTAGGATTGTTCCTGAGTTTCTGGTATCCTTCTAATCTTCTCTCAAATGGGGTTTTTCTTTTGTTTAATCTTTCATTGTGAAGTTGTTCAATATATTAATTCACATTGTTCACAAATATTTCGTTAATGTTGAAGCAAAGATCCTTATTGACCTCCCAAGTCGGTGGTCTAGTGGTAAGTCTGCCGGTAGTAAATCGTTCTCGTTTAAGGTTATTTTTTACTCTCATGTGGTTATCAAGTAGGGTTGGATTCATGGGAGCATCACGGTTTGCATATTGGCTAATTGGCTGATGTTGTGGTGGTGGACTGCCTGGGTTTGTAACTATGGCTCAAATTGGACATTTCATAGTGGGGACTCTTATGGTCACGTTCAGGGTTATTACCTATTGATCTTTCCTCCTTCTTTTCCACGAGCAAATAAAAAAGATCCTAATTTATCGTATCATTGTCGTATAATGTATGTAATGGAGGTTATTCCTTTTTTCTACTCTCAATGTTAGAAGAGAGATGACAGGTATTGGCACAACTGGTAAGATTAGTGCAGACATGGCATCATAATTTTGAGTTACGGGAGCAGCCTCTTTGGCTGCACTATAAAGTAGGGAACATATAACCCTTCCGTGGGACACTACTGCAATAGTAGCAGGAGTATTGTGCACTGCCTCCCTTTTTGTAAAACTATGTTAGAAGAGAGTTTGGTGTTATGAAATCTACTGTACCTTTATTTTGTTCAAGTGAAAGTGGAAAAAATGCTCTACCACTGAGCAATGGACCTTTGGAGATACCTCTCAAATTAACATCTAAAAAATCTAATTAACAAAATGCTGACAGCCTTTCAACTATAAAATGATGAAGAAAACAATGCCTGTAACAATTTCTGAAAATTGTTTTGCACAGAATTTTTTTCTTGTATGTATAGTATGCCTTTAGTGGCATGGAAAGACAGTTATTTCAGTTTGAACATTGAAGAATATAAAATTATGCAGTGTGCTAACATATGGTTTTTTGTGATGATTTGTGTCAACCAGGCTGGTGTGATATTAGGGCCAACTATTCTGCCACGGATCAACCTAAATTTTGCTAAGGCACTTTTTCCACCGGAAGGAGAAGTTTTCCTCGACGGGTTATCAAGAATTGGCTACATTTTCTTTATGTTCCTGATTGGAGTGAAGATGGAGCCGAGCATGGTGTGGAAAAGTGGAAAGAAAGCCTGGATTATAGGGCTTTCTTCAGTCGTACTTCCGACAATTATAGTCATGGGCATATCTGAAGCATTTGATCAAGTGATGCCACTTATGAAAATACCGGCTGCTACAGCTGTAGTAGCAATACAAACGTTAACTCCATTCCCTGTCATTGCTTGCTTTGTCATTGACTTAAAAATTATGAACTCTGAGCTTGGCCGCCTTGCTTTGGCATCAACGTTGATCAGTGATTTAGTAAGTACCGGGATATCAACTATTCTAGCTAACCTGAGAATTAGACAGATAGGTTTTGGGACTGCAAATGTGATACATTCTTTTTTCCTAGCCACTGCTTTGCTATTGATTATCATTTTTATCATGCGGCCAATATTGTTATGGATCATCAAACAGACACCCGAAGGTAAACCAGTGAAGGGAGTTCACATCACTTCCATTTCTTTCTTGGTTCTGGCAATGGCCATAATCAGTGATAATGTGGGGCTTCAGTACCACTTCGGTCCTTTCATACTTGGATTATGTGTTCCATCTGGGCCACCTTTGGGGTCAACACTGGTAGATAGGTTTGATACTTTCATATCAGGGTTGTTAGCGCCACTTGTAGTGACAAACTGTGGATTGAAAATTGATCTGTTTGAAGTCTTTGATCTGAAATTCCTGACAACCATGTGGTTTATCATTGGTGTTAGTTCTTTCACAAAATTGATTGTACATTTTTTCCTGGCATTGCCTTGCAAAGTGCCTGTCAAAGATGCTGCTGCTCTTTCCATCATTGGAAGTGCCCAGGGAATCGTCGAAATGGCTTCATATCTGAACATCTTTGTGAATCAGGTAATTGATAATACTCGCAGGTACTCTTCAATATGGCAAATGGATGCTGTATTGTGCATGTGTGGCTTGTTGTAGTGAGTTTCTCGGTCCTTACGTTACAAGTTCTGTGTTTGCACGTGGCTGGCGATCACATCAACCTTCTTGGAGGTGACTATGGGAAGCCTGCTTGGCTGCACTACCCGGCCTTGCTAAACCAAGTATATGGTCATCATTTCTACTTAGCCTGTCATCTTCAAGGTTTTCTTGTTAGTCCTACCTTTGAGCTCACTCATGAGCTCTGTTTTAAACCTGTCAGACTATGTTAGCTCTGCTTTCTCAAGATTTGAAAATAAGCAAATCACTGCACAACCACACATTGCAAATTAATTTTCACGAGTGCTACTAAGCTGAGTTGATGCTGCCCAAGCTCCGGTTTTTTCCCTAGCTATTACTTGGATTCTGCTTATTTAGGTTGGTGATTGAAATAAAGGAGACATCTAATTCTGTCATGTTTACAATTTATTTTTTTACCCTTGGTAGGAAAGAAATTGTGTCATAGCTCAACTAGTTTGTTCATTAGTTGTACAATTCAGGGTTGTGCTGGATAAGCCTGTGATGCCACAGATTTCCTAGTTAATAAAACAGTTCCTCCTTCCTTCCCATTTTGAGTGTCCTCGTCTTTTCCTCCTATCCCAAATTGCATGTGCCCTCTCAAAAAGTCGAAAATTTTATTTTCCATATGTAGACGCTTTATATAATATATTTCATGCATATATTTTGCTAAAAAAAGAATTTCACTTGGTGGATCACAATAATTTTTATATAATTACACGATTGATTAGGTGGCATGTTTTGTTTTGTCTTAATAGCTTTTTTCATAAAGAACACTCCAAATGAGAAGGAATCTTAATTATAATCATTTACATTCAACTGTCATCTTATTGAACAACAGAAATGACTCTCCTCTCTCTCTCTCTCTCTCTCTTAAGCACAGACTATAGATGGCGAAACCTTTGCCTCACTGAGTGTCACAGTAATTGTAATGGCAACGTGCTCAAGGCTCCTGGTGATACTTATTTATGACTATTCAAGGACATATACAGGATACCAGAAAAGAGACATTCTACACACTGCATATAATGCAGAGCTCCGCATACTGGCATGCGCCCATCGACAAGACGATGCCTTGGCTGCTATAAAGCTTCTTGAAGTTTCCAGTCCTACCAGACAAAGTCCCATTGCAGCCTATGGACTACACCTGATGGAGCTTGTTGGCCGAGCCTCTCCACTCTTAATCAACCATAGGTTGGGCAAAAAGGCTTCTTCACGTGCCTCTCGTTCGCAACAAGTAATAGACGCCTTTCGGTACTATGAGCTGCAACATTCAGGTTTGGTCAGTGTGCAAATCTTCACTGCAATGTCACTTCCAATGTTTATGCAACATGACATTTGTTCGTTGGCCTTTGACAAGTTGGCATCTCTCATCATACTTCCATTTCATAGGAAATGGAATCAGCAAGGCAAATTGATTTTGGATAACAGTGTTTTGAGGACAATAAACCTTCATGTGCTGGACATGGCTCCTTGTTCTGTAGGCATTCTTGTTGACCGTCGCAAATTACACCAGGTATCATCTATTTCATTGGTGCCATCAGTATATCGTGTGGCTGTAGTTTTCTTGGAAGGTGATGATGATCGGGAGGCACTGGCATATGGCAAGCGTATGGCAAAATCGTCAGGAGTTCACTTGACAGTTGTTCGACTTCTTTCAATGGATGGTTTGGATGAGGACCAGTGGCAGGTCATGCTTGATTCAGAAATGATCAGGGATATAAGGCTCCGGGTTTCACTCAAGCAAAATATAGAGTATATAGAAGAAAAGATGAAAGATGGGTCAGACACGGCCTCTCTAGTTCGTAAGATGGAGGGATCTTTTGACCTTATCATAACAGGGCGGCGTCACAGACAGGATGTGCCACAGCTATCAGGCCTAACAGAATGGATTGAATTGCCAGAGCTAGGACCAATTGGAGACATACTTGCTTCTGCTGATGTTGATAAATCAGTTTCAGTCCTGATTGTGCAACAACAACTAGTGCAGATCAAGTGAGGAAGGATCAATTGGTTGATGAAGTGCTAGTTTTGATCCAAATATCGACGTTTATGTAAATTCACACAAAATCCATAGCACTAACAGCTGTTGAACCCGGTAATTATTTGCAATGAAGGAAAACCAGTCATTGCATTTCTTGTTTTGCATTCACTATGAAGCTAATCTTCGTATAATTCAAGCTTAGATGCCTTGACAAAACACATTCTTGTAAAATAGTTTCGATACAATCTTCTCCATTTGTAAAGTCCTATTATCTGGGTCATAATGCTGATTCCAAGGAAAATGCTGCATAGCTTTTTGCAATTTGGACAAAATCTGTATATGCACATGCCTACAGACACAGGTTGTGATATAGTATTTTCTAAGTGACTCTTAAACGATTTTTTCCCTGAAATTTCATTTTAATTTCAGGATTGTCTCGCTCTATAAATTTCAATGCAAAGTTGGTTTGGGGGTTTTCAATTTGCAGCTTCTTCCAGGTTGGAAGAATAAGTGGAGTGAACATTAGCCTGCTCTGAATTGAATAGAAGTGGAGAACTTCTTAAACAGGGTGTGTACTGACATGACCCAAATATAAATTGGAGGGTGATCGTAACTGCTGCTTTGGTACTTGCATGAGCATGGTATGCAGTGGAGGATTTCTTTTTTTAATACTGCTTACCAGTCAAATGTGTCAGGACTTGGTTTTTTTAACAGACAAATATCACAAACAAAGGCAATGGAGCATTCAAAATTTTTATTTTTTATTTTATCCTTAATTATTATTATAAAATTAATTATACCCACATATTTTCTTTCATCAAATTTTTATTTTATATATCTATTTGACTTTTAAGTTCTTTTAGACTCTTATTAGTAATACACTTATATATAATATATCTATGTCTATATTTATATGAATATATATAATATAAAACAGAATAAATTTCAATAAGCATATCCAATTGTCTCAAATATTCTTATCTAACTGTCACTAACATTTCGCTCAATATCATTCACATTGCACCATACCTTCAAACACAAATTATCCCCACTAAGTATACATAGACTGAAAAATCATGGCTTGTCCGGTTGGGTAAATGAGCATTTTGTAGCGTATAATCAGGCTTTTTTTTTCAGTTAAATATTTAATTCTCTAAAATTATAAAAATTCAAATTTAGGATATCAAAATTGAAATTGGGATAAAACGTCACTTTTTTTTACTGAAATAAACAAATAAGTTAATGTGTGAGAATAATTTATACCATAAAAAATGGCAAAGAATGCAAGAATTTTTTAGTGCAGACAAAAAAAAATGTAAGCTTTAGGATCTATTTATAAATTCCATGAATTATCAATTTCTAAAAATAACCGAAAATTAAAGATATATTTCAACCAGGCCATAGGTCATTGGTGTGCCACTAGATCCAGCCAATCCCCCAAGTCCAACAGGCCCGATGGCCTGAGGAGGAGGCCCATACCCTTAATTGTAACGGGCTGGTCGTAGATTGCCACGCTTTTGTACCATCAGGTCAAAATGTGGGCCGTTTAACAGCCTTACTCATCAACAAATCGAATTTTGATTTATCCAATTCAATTTTAAAAGTTCGATTTGAGATTGTAAACAAGAGGTAGAGATTGTAGCAGGAAATGCTACGGGTGGGGGGGAACGACAACCTTGTGTGTCAATACCCGAAACGGGTCGGATCCAGTGGTGTGTGGAGAAGCCATAACCCTTTGGAATACTGTACGCCTCTTCTGTTGTTGCAACTCTATGTAATTTCCATAACCTCCCTCTTGGTTGACATTTGCCTCAAGCCCCTCGGACAATCAACTATTGTTTCACAAATTTTTGTAAGACTTCTCTTCACCACTCTCTCTCTCTCTATATGTATATCTTGCATGACTAGCTTGCATGTAATTAATTTTGTTCCTTTCTTTAAACTGATCATGTTCATTCATTAGCCCAGTTTTGTGGGAAAAAAAATACTAATAAAAAGGAAAACCCATAGGGTAAAATGTCATGATACATTTTTTTGGGGAAGAAAGAGAGGGGGGTAGTGGTTGGTTGAGTTTTGAACATTGAAGTCATTTACATTTCACAGAAAAATGCTCTTAGGAGGCCATATTTGGGGCTAAAATTTAGGGATTTAATGCACTGTTATCGAAGTGAATTATATCCAATATTGGGATCAACGGTCAATCCGCAGCATTGCATTAAGTACATAAGTTTTCAACTCAAATTGTGTCACAATAACATTAGCTTAATTTTGGAGAACTTTGTCACGAAATTTATTAAAAGAATTAGTCTTAGTCTAAAGGTAAAGGTGAGGCTAAGAAGGAGTGGGCATTAGATAACAAAATTTGTTGAAATCATAATGGTGGTAGCCTAGTTGGCTCTGGTAGAGGATGAAAGTCTGACCCTTCTCTAGTGGTCATACTTTTGAATCCGCTTGTAGTAGTAGTCCCTATAAATCAAATATTGCTAGACTAAGTGGGGACGGGTGATGGGCTTGACACTAGATGATGGGCTTGACACTAGGTGATAATCTAGTTGGCTTCAGTAGAGGGTGAATGTCTATGCCACATCTTATCTCGAAAGACCTTTTTGTTATCTCAAAGATGAAAATATAATTTGACACATGATAATACTTGTGCCTGTAATGCAAGGAAGCATTTAAAACTATTAATATCAACTAATGATCTCATACAACTCAAAACAACACCAAGCATTAGGGAATTCATCCCTTACATCAATAAGCAAACGAACACTCCTCTACAATATATACACAATCAGTTTCCTTAACCTCTCATCTCAACTCTGCTAGTGCTATAGTAGACCCACTCTAAACTTCAGCTTCTTGAAACCAAATATTTTATCAGTGTAGTATCATAAAAAATGAAAAAAATTTATTTCACCAAAATATATTCACAATATGAGGAGAACGACAAACATAAGGTGTTTCACCTTACTTTGTAATCTCAAATCGCTATCAAAATATCAACATAATAAATAATCCATATGTGATATGAGTCAACAACAACATTTAAACAATGTCAAACTGTCTCACGACAACTACGCAATGTCCAAATTAACATGTAAGTCATGTCAAGCTATACAACAACTCTCGCACAATGGATACTACTCAAATCATAAGTTTTTCAACAAAACATATTTGATCCATTATTTGTCCAACTCATCATAAATCAAGTCATCAAAAACTTTATTTCACATAGTAAAAATAACTCATATTAGTCATATACTTTTATTTTCAATTGTTATGAAGCAATATATTTTACCTGTTATGGCCAATCAACACACAATTCTGCTTTATGCTTGATCTCTAGGTGGAATCGATGTAGTAGTCATCGATCCTTACAATTTGCATATGCACAAATACAAATAACTATTGAATTAAAAATAAATTAATTTATGCAAATAAATGCATATGAATATGTTTTGTAACGTTTCTTATTCACCACAACTTAACTTCAGCATCCAAGTCCGGAGACCAACTGATCACTCAAGTATTTACAAATTCAATGAGTACCCTCTATAACCTCAAACTAGAACGTAAACCCTTTTTGTCACTCAAACTATGTTACAATTAGTTTAAAAGGATTCCGGTATCTTATTTATACAGTCAAATCTATCGTTTTGGACCACTGTGCATTAATGCACTCAAAACTCTCATTCGAATCTGTGATTTTTAGCCAAATTTAAAAACTCAATCATAAGTATTAAAATATGCTAAACATTCATAAATAATGTAAGATATGATTTCAAAATGAATTTGAAAAACTTCGACTGATTTGGAATTGAGAAACAATACCTTGCGCTACTTTTCGATTCAAAACAGTCAAAAATAAAACGATATTATTTTTCAATAAAATTTCATACACATACTCAATTAACTTACCTAAGAATGAATATAAAATTTATTTTTAAAAATCATCCAAAAACTAAGTGAAATTGACCCCGGAGTCCAAAACAGTAATTTTACTCCTCATTTTGATTCGGCCATCAGATCCACTTGAAATTTTACCGAGACCTCTGCAAGGATGTTACGGAAGTTTTGGCATTGACCAGAGGTTGATTGGACAATGGACGCGCCCTCACTCTCCGTCGGGGTGTCTAATGGTCCTCTTTGTCCACTTTATCTTCTTCCTCAAGAATCCCAAGTGTCAAAATTATGTTTCAAGATCCCTTCTTCTCACCCCTATAACTCACTCCACAAAACACCTTTAGACCTATTTTCAAAGCTTATGTACTCTCCTCATGGCCCTCTACAGATCCTTATAGGTGAGCCCTTTCAAATCAAACTCTAACTCATCTAAATATTAAACCAAAGTTTGAAAAAAAAATAAGGTTTTTCAACTTGGGGTTAGACCTGTAACTATCATTTTCACCCACACCAATGGATTGCTAGGGTTGGTTAGTCTAGCCCAATACACCTTACATTTTAAAAACTCAAAATTTAAAGTTTTAATTTTCAAGAAACTCAAACCCTCACCATGAACTTCCTCTTCTTCGAACGACCACCACCAACCACGACAACCACTCCAAACACCACCAAACTTCATATTAAACACCCAAAAACCATTCTCAAACCTCAATTCAAGCTAAAACCAAACCAAAACTCAATCCCGCTTCTATAACAACTAAAACCCAAAAATATGAAAATGAAAATTGATGTTCAAACAGTGATCAAAACTCATTTTAATCATCATAAATGAACTCCTAGCATCCTATTTAAGTTTGAACAGTACCCTTTGATGCTCGAATTCCACTCTCTAGAAATTTGATTCTCCAAGCTTTCGCTTTCTCTCTCTAACTTCTCTCCTCTCTTTCACTTTGTTCTTAACGATTCTAACATATCCAAGCCTTAGCTTAAGCCTTCACCATTTCCTCAAGCATTCTAGACGGATAAAGAGAGGTGGAGAAACCTCAACCTGGACAGCAAGCTGCTTGGAGGTGGTTGCCATGCAATGGCAGTTCTATAAATACCATAAAATATGAAAATTAAATTTTAATATATATATTTTTATATTTCATACCTCTCCTTTGATCTATCATAAGCATCTCATAGTCAAGGATCAAAATTTTGTTGCAAATCCAAATTAACTCGTTATAGTTTTGATTGTTGTAATTTAACCCCAGTATCACTTAATCTATTTTCTTTTTTTCCAAGGAACTTTAATACTTTAACTTATCACTTAACATCCTTCTAACAACTTTTAAAATTATATTTTGACCCCCAATATTATTTAAAAGCAATGCGATGAATGACAGGGTTTCAGTGGGTTTTTTCCCTTGGTGGTATTATCATGACGGACTCGACCATCCCAAGTCAGTAGTTATAGTTCAAACCGAACATTCTACAAAGGGTGAGAACCTCAAATAATGTTCTAAGGAGATTTACTACCTTTGGTCACCCCTAACCACCCTTTTCTCAACCAAAAAAAAATGTATAAAAGTTTATGCATAGGTTATGACCACAGTTTCAAACTTAAAAACAGTATGGCAAAATTTGGATTCAAACTATGCAGCTAAATTTAACTTAGTAACATTTCTGATGGAAAAACCAGCCAAAAGTTAAAGCTTTTTGGCCAGTTCAGGGAAATTTTGGAGTAGCCAAAAGGGATGATGATTATGATCATCATCATTTCAGTTTAGAAGCTGGTTAGTGGTTACTAAAATTACCAGGGCAGTAACATGAAATGTTGATCTAATATGAGCAATACCTTATAAAACTTTTTGAAAAACGACATTTGTAAATTTGATCATGATACATGCACATCAATATGTTGTTTAATTTCAAGAAAGTTCATCATCCATTTATGTTTGTTAGATAATAGCATTCATTGCATCTACCTGCAAGGTGGCATAATATTTGGCCCTTCACTCCTTGGGCATGAAGATGTCATAGGACCAAGGTTATTCCCAGCAATAGGGACCATGATGCTTGAAACCACCGCGTCATTTGGCCTTATGTTCTTCCTTTTCACGGTAGGCGTAAAGATGGATCCAGCCATGATGGTTCGCCCAGGGCGAACCGCCATCCTCTTAGGTGTCTCAGCAATGTTCATTACAATGGCGCTCACTGTCCCACTGTCCTTTGTATTCAAGAATTATGTACCCATGGATGCTAGCCTTGTTAAGTCATTTCCACTCATAGCAGCATCACAGTGTCTAACGCCTTTCCCAGACATAGCCTACCTACTAACCGAGCTCAAAATCGTCAACACAGACCTTGGACGCTTGGCCTTATCTTCAGCCATGTTCTGTGATATGCTTGGCATTTCCTTGACAGCAGTAGGTTTTGCAGCCCTGTAGGCTAAAATTGACCATCCCCTGAACCCGTTGTGGGGTACTTTGTCATCAATTGCACTTGTTGTTGCCATTGTGTACCTCATTAGGCCAGTAATTTTACAGATTCTAAAACGAAAGCTGGAAGGGGAACCTGTGGGGGAGTCACTAATTTCTACCATTTTCGTCATTGTTCTGATAACTGGCTTCTTGAGTGAAACCATTGGCCAGCACTACGTGCTCGGATCATTAGTGTTAGGCTTGGTGGTGCCGGAGGGGTCACCCTTAGGGGCAGAATTGGTATCGAAGCTTGATTACCCCATTTCAAAAGTGCTCTATCCGACCTTTCTCACTGTCAGTGGCTTGAAAACAAATATATTTAAGATTGATCTTCAATCCTTATGGATTGTGGCGTTTTTCGCTCTCTTCTCCAGCCTGGTTAAGATTGGAGCAATGATATTGCCAGCACGATATAATAATATACCGGTCCGAGATGCTGTAGTGCTAGGGCTTATGATGAATGCTCGAGGAATTGTCGAGCTCGTTCTCTACAACTTATGGCTGGATGCTCAGGTGTGAACAAAATCCTTGATTCTATTTCTTCTAATTGTTTATGCACTGTTTGGTATAATGAAAAAATAAAAAGATGAAAAGTTATAAAGATGAAAAGTTGAAGAGATAAATAAAACATCATCTTTGATAAATAAAGAAAGTAAGAAGGATGAAAAAGTGGATGGATGAACTTTTTTTCTAACTCACTAAAATCAATTCCTCCAAAATCGAAAGAAAAGTGAATAAAAAATTAATTATTTGTGATGAAATGTATTTTATTTGTTTATATACCTTTTGATATATACATATATTATGTATACATTAATTTCATATATAATACAATAATAACATATGTATTTATATATTTTTTTTTAAAAATTTAAAAATTAAAAATATATATATATTTTTCCATCTTACCTAGGGGTAAAAATTTTTGACTCAACACGATGATACGACTCGAACTTAATATGAATTTTATGACACGAACTTGATTATAACTCGATACGAACTCGAAAACAACCTGACACACGAACACGAAATATAAACGGTTCATATTCAATTCAACCCGTCAAACTAAAAATTGATACTATCAACCCGTTTATTTAAAAAAAAACATTTTTTCTATTTTCTCGTTTATATAGTAACATGAAATTAATATGTTTAACTAATATTATAGACATAAAATATTAATTATTTATAACTATTTATTAAGCACCAACATGATTATTATATAAAAAATATATTTTTACCTATTATTATTATTGTATTTATTTAAGTTAATTTTTAGTTTATAAAAAAAATATGAGGATGAATTTAATTAAGTGAAAATAGAATATTAGCGTTAAATTTTTTATTCAAAGTTTATGTGGGTCGACACGAATACGAACATGAATACAACACGAAAATAAACAGATCAATTCGACGATTAATTAAATGAGTTGAATTATGTTTGACTAATGTTCAATATGAACCCGCAATAACTCGACATGAACCTGACACAACATGACTCGATTGTCACTCATAATCTTAGCAAACACAAAAAAATAATTAATTATTTTTATTTTTTCATCCATCCTAACAAACACAAATGAAGGAAAATGTATCATTCTTATTTTCCTTCCTTGAAGGATAGAAAATGTATCTCTCCTACTTTTTATCCCTCATAATTTTCATCATTCCTATCAAACAGAGCATTATAGTTTTCATTTCCATACAAGGTATTTTGTTGATTTCAATTCAAGTTTAATTTCAATAATTATGTCTTTAATTATTGCTTTTACTTTTACTTTTGCAACGAGTGAATTGGAAACTTTCTATATGATCGGACGAGGGTTTCTCATCCGTGAATAGGTAGTTAATTTGACTAACTAAGATTTTTTATGTTAAAGTTATTTTATTGATTGAACAATTGATTCTGGAAACATGATTGATATATATAAAGGGTTTGATTTCTTGCGAAGATCGACCACTACTTGTCAACATAGGTTTGAGGTAATGAGTTAGTATATTATTTTAAAAAAAAATGATACATCAATGTTGATACGTGAGTGCACACCCACTAAAGTGTGGTAAGTGTTGTGATCCTACAGGGATTGATTTGAGATAGTTTCTATTTATGGGTGGACAAGATAGATTCGATGTATAGATTCATGCTAGTATACCTATGTACATGAGATATTATATTTTGAGATGTGGTTATGTAAGTGATTCTACCTCGGATCACTTTGACACTTATTCAGTTTGTTCATTTATAACATGAACTCGAGTTCCATTGTAAAAATCATTCTACAAATAAATCAAGCTTAAATAATGTCTTGTTTCGCTCATAAAGCTAGCTAGTGAACCAGTGGAACTCACTCATTAATATATATTATGTTATCTATAAGCAAATATAAACAAGTTAAACTTGATCTTCAGCATGAACCTAGACTCAAATTTAAGCTTGAATATCAGTCTGAGTTCAGCTTATTTTGAGTTCGAGTTTGGAACAAGCCAAGCTTGTACAAGGCATTTGAAATTCATCATGATCTCAAGTTTTGCCCAAACATTTTGCAGAAATGAACGAGCCGCGTCCAAACTGTTTGGTGTTTGGCGCGGTTCGTTCCATTTCCTGCCCAAGGAACATTTATATTTTTGGCTCTATATGTCTTTTTTTTTTTTTAATCTAGAAGTCATTCGTCCTCGACATTTTCCACATTATCTACTCCCATTTTGATGCCTGTTTTGAATGTTTTTGTAATGGCAGATTCTGACAGATCAAGAGTTTGCTCTTGTCGTTCTCTCAGTGATCGGAACCACCGCCATTGTACTGCCATTCATAAAATGTCTCTATGATCCAGATAAACAGCAGATTCAAATCAAGAGGAGGACCATCCAACATGCCTAGCGTGTGACGGCGCTACGAATATTGGTCTGCATCCAAAACCAAGATAATGTCCCTTCAATTGTAAACCTTTTAGAAGCTTCAAATGCTACAAAAGAAAGTCCCATTGCAGTCATAGCAGTCCTTCTCGTCAAGCTCGTTGGCCGTACCACCCCTATACTAATCGCTCATCAGCCACAACGAACCCTCGAATCAAGTACCTCTAGATCAAGCCATATCATCAATGCCTTGCGCCACTATGAGCTCTACAACGAAACATGTGTCACTGTTCAATCATTCAGTGCCATCTTACACTTCGAAACGATGCACGAAGATGTTTGTCGGGTGGCGCTGGACCAGAATGCCAACATTGTGATAATGCCATTCCATAAGAATTGGACGATTGATGGCTCCATTGGTTCAATAAACCGCGCAATGCAAGGCCTGAACCTCAAGGTCCTTGACAAGGCACCATGCTCGGTGGGCATACTCGTCGATCGGGGAATTCTATGCGGATCATTGTCCATCTTAAACAATCAATCCGTATACAATGTTGCTGTGATCTACATTGGTGGCGCAGATGATGCAGAGTCACTATGCTATGGCTCTCGAATGGTGAGACATCGACATGTTACTCTAACAGTCATTCGTTTCCTTCTCTTTGGATGCCATAATGCAAGAGAACGGAAGCTAGACAACGATTTCATCAGTGCAATCCGGCAGGCTAACACCGGAAATGATCGTTTTGTATATCAAGAGGAGGTTGTGAGAGATGGGGTAGGACTAGCTGCATCTTTGGGTGGGTTGGAAGATAATTTTGATCTAATGATAGTGGGGAGGCACCATCAGGAGTCCCTCTTATGTTGGGGCTAGATGCATGGAGCGAGTGCCGGGAACTTGGCATTATCGGAGATATGCTAGCCTCACCGGATTTCGGAATCACGGCGTCAGTGTTGGTGGTGCAACAACAAAAAGTGGGTGGAAAGATAATTAATCCGACAATGAAACCAGTGATTCATAATCAGAATACACCACGCCATGGCACATCAGCAACTTTAGGTTCTAGTAACAATAGAACATGGGCCATCTCAATGGATAGAACTCTTTAGGGTTAGTACACAAGCCAATTTTTTTTGTTTCAGTACATTATTTCAACCCCCCTTCTTTTCTTCAGGATGTTACAGTTTTGTAGATATTCTACTACTACATTTCTTATCCAAAGCAAAAGGGTCTCTAAACAAAAAAGAAAGTTTGGTTGAAGTTTCAATAGGCATAAACAAAAGGACCAAAAAAATAAATAAATAATACTAATTGGATCTAAAAATTTGATTTAATTTTCTGACCGAATGATGTAGTTTTATTAGAACCGTTGGATCAACACCAAGTTCTAACAATTGATTGAACTTATAACCAATTCAAAAATTATAGTGAATTAAATCAATAAATTAGGTCCTAATATATTGCTAAAAATAAAAGGTAGCACTGAGAATCCCCTCAAAAAAACAAATATTGAGAACTTGAGACCTATGCCAGTCTTCTGCAAGATTGACAGGAGGAAAGCCAGAAATTCTAGGAGAGCAATGTGGGGAATTAATTTATTGTAACTGTTAAATTAAGAGTTTTGATATTAAATAAAGAATATTATTATTGAAACTTAATTTATTGATCTAATTTATTATAATTATTGGATTGAGAATGAGTTTCATCAAATATTAGAATTTAGTGTTAATCTAATAGTTACAATAAAATTACATTATTACATCATTAAATTACTTTTAAATAGCCTTACTTTTAAATAAAACTCACTTTTAATTTAACAACTATATTTGATTAAAGTCCTAGATTAGGTCCTTAAAATTAAGTACAAATAGCATTGTTTATTCTAGAATGGGGTCAATGAAATAATTAATAGATGAAAAAAACTTCACTAATGCTATTGGGACATAATTTAGAAAAATAATTTATGAATTTAATGCATTATGACCAAGGGCGGAGCTGGGATTTCGCATTAAAGGGGGCAAACTATTATAGAAAAAAATTTCACTAATTTATACAAAACATTTCCAAGCATGAAAAAATATGTTAGTATTCAACATTAGATTACTATTAAAAGTGTAAGAACAGTTTCTATTTAACTTAAAGAAAATATGTACAACAAACCATAAAATAACTTATGGTATTACATTTCAATCACATACTAAAGAAGTGTTGATGGTAAACTAAATTTTTAGAAATTCCTTTTAATGAACAAAATTACATTATCCATGGCAAAATCATTATTCATTTTATATTGTTAAATCTAGTTAAAATCATCATTTATTTTGTTGATTTACTCAATCCAAAAACTGTTATTTTTTATGGAGGGGGGGCAATGGGTCACTAACTTGCCAAAAATTAAAAATAAGTTAAGACTATTGTAAACATTTTCAAAAAATCAAGGGGGGCAAATGTATTAAAATAATCAAACTATCATTCCTTAATAATAGATTAATACATAAATAAAGGAATTCAAAAATTCGAGGAAGGGGGGGTGCCCACCCTCCTCCCTACGTGGTTTTGCCTTTGATTATGACCATTGGATTGATAGTATAATATATTCAATACTCAAATCCATTGATATTCTAATGGTCACAATCATTAAATTTTCAAAATATGTCTCATAGCAATGTTATATGCACTTAAAATATAAACTTGATCAATCACTGTCATTAATTTTATTGTGAGTCTCAATATTTATTAGGACTCACTACTTATTTAATGGTTATAACAAGTCCACGTAACATTTCCCTATGTCTCTATAGCATTATTCTAAAAAGGAAAATGCTACATAACTCAAGGGTTTGTTTGTTTAGTTAAAAAAAATGGTAAAAAATGTATGAAAGAGAAATTTTTTAAAATTTTCATGTGTTTAATTAGCATGAAAAGAAAATGATAGAAAAAATAATTTTCTTTCATACTTGAATTTTCTCACAAATAACAATTTTTTTTCTTTTAAAAAACACAAGGAAATGCAAGAAAGTTGTGATCTATAATTAACTTTCCATTTTACCATTATTTTTCTTAAAATATTTCATTAGTTATTAATTTTAAAAAATTTTGGTATGAATTTAATTAATCTTATAATTTAACCCAAAGATCTTTGTGTTGGTGATTGTCTTAGAATTAGGTTTTCAGTCACTATTTTAAAAAAAATTAATTTTCAATTATAATTACATATTTTTTAGACCGATTTAATATAATTAAAGGTAATTTAAAAAATTATAAAAAATTTCTTATAACTTTATTTTCTTTCAAATAATAGAATAATTTTTTTTTTAACTTTCCCGTAAATTTTTCATTCTAACTAAATACATGCATGAAAATATATTTTCTATTATTTTATTTTCTTTCACTTTACTTTTTATCATTTTTATTTTTCATCTTTTTTTTTCCTAACCAAACGGATACCAAATGAAACCCAAAAATTCAAATTCAAATGAATGTCAGCTCTTTGATGAGTGTGAGATGAGTAGGTACCACCGAAAAAATTGATACAATTCATTCATCTAAAAAATAATATACATTTGAGTTAAAAATTTTTGATTTTCATTAGGGGAGACGACATTGAAACAAAATCATATTTAAGAGAGGATTGGCTTAATGATATTCAAGTAATAATGTTGAATTAGAAGCCAGAGGAAAAATTTTAGGGTTCGTTTGGTAACGTTTTCGTTTTTATGTTTTTTTTTAATAAAAAAAACAGAACTAAGTTTTATTTTTTTGTGATAAAAATTAAAAATATAAAACATATTTGATACTCATTTATATTTCAAAAATTATAAAAACAAAAATTTAAAACTTGCTTTGTATTATATAAAAAATTCCCCACCCAAACCCCACCACCCAACCCCACGGACCACCAAACCCCATCATTCCAGTGCTGTGGGCACCAAAGAGAGCAACTGTCTCTCTTCCGAGAACCCCCTTGATGCAAATGATGCAATAGTCTCATTGTCTATTCCATTAACGGCATCCGGTAAAACTGAGGCATCACACCCCTCTAGGAAACAATCATGGAAAACCAGCCGCAATAGTGCGGCAGAAACATTGGACCGCAATTTGTACAGTTCTTGAACCGTTGTTCTGATGATTTGCTCAGTTTGTGGGCACGATTCATTGTGGTAATCGTATCTGAGAGATCCGAGATTATCAGCTTCTTCGACCTTCTTCTCCAACTTGGTCGACAAGAACATCGGCCAAGATGGTGATGGATCAGCAAAAATCGAAGGCGCATCATACAGAGACCAACTCACAGCTCGCGAACCCTTCTTGGTTTCAGCATTTTGTTTCTTGAGGGAAATCAAAACACACAATAGAAACACAAGAAAGCTTAATTTCCTGGTAAAATCCATCTCAAGCAGTTCAAGCCCTACAACCATACCCTCTCTCTCTCCCCTCCTCTTCCTCTTCTCTTCTCTTCTCTTTTCTTTTTAATCTTCTGAGAATTGAGGATCTGAATTGCAGAGTAACCCACCCCCAATCCAACCCCCACTAGCCACCCAAACCCCACCACTCAACCTCACTGGCCACCCAAAACCACCACCCAATCCAACTCTTATAACCACCAAAACCACAACCACCGAAACCCACCCCCAATCCAACCCCCACCATCGAAACCCACAACCCACCCCCACCACTACAACCACCGAAACCCAGTTCAATTTCTATAACTTTTGGAGTGCTGGCTTGAGATCTGAGAGATGAACGAGAGAGAAGAGGTCTCGTGAGTGCTGGCTTTTATAGTGGGAATGAAAAAAATCTTTTTTTTTGGTGCTAAGGGAGTTCGTTAAATGATGAGACGAGGAGGGCGTGTTTCCGTTTTTCCGTGTTTCCAAAAACACATATTTTGATGTTTTTAAAATTTAGGATTTTTTACAAAACAGACCAACCCAAACAAATTAAAAATAAAAAAATAAAAAGACTCCCCAAATATGTTATTGTTCTTTTTTTTTTTTAGCAAAAAACAAAAAAAAAAACACAAACACAGGGTTGCCAAACGGGCCCTTAGTCACACCCCTTCAAGTTTATCATATTTTCAAGGAAATCTTATTTTATTTTTTGAACACTCTTTGTCAGATTAAAAGTGTTAATTATAATGTAATTTTATTAAATTGTCCACGATATATTTTAGAAAAAATTTCATCCACGCCCCTTCTAAATAGACATATCTTCAATGAGACTCTCTCTATTTTTTAAATTCTTTACATATTAAAATTTGAGTCAATTAAAATTCGATTCGAGATAGTTAAAATTTATTTTTTATTTATTAAAATTTTAATCGATTAAAAATTATATTTTTTTACGTATTAAAATTTAAGCGGATTAAAATTTTATTCAAGGCGCAAATCAAATTTTAATCGTTCTAAATTTTGATACATAAAAAAATATAAATTTTAATTAACTCAAACTTTAATGTGTAAAAAATAAATTTTAATCAACTTAAATCAAATTTTAATAAATAATAAAAATAAATTTTAATGACTCAAAACGAATTTTAATCGGGACTACCAACTCAAGTAGAGCTCAAATTGGTTTGAATTTGAATACGTAAAAAAATACTTTTAATAAGCTCGAATTTTAATAAGTAAAAAAAATAAAATCTAATCAGCTCGAATCAATTTTTAATCGACTCAAATTTTAATATGTTGAAAAAAAAATTAATTAGCTCAAATTTTAATATGCAAAAAAATAAATTTTAATTAGTTTAAATTTTAATCCAATGTTATGTAGAAAAATTGTTTGGAATTTATGTAGGGATAATTTTGGTATTTTAGATAATTTATTTTTGTTATAAATAGTGATTTAATAACATGAGGTGTCAGTAATGTTTAAATATAAATTAAAAGGGATGTCAATAATATTTTTAATAATAACAGAAAAATCTTTAAAAATACGATAAATTAGACAGAATGTGGTTAAAATTTTCCTTAATAATTTTCATTTAAATCTTTAGGAGGGAAGGAAGGGGGAGGGCCCAAAGCCCACCTAGTCTTAAAGTGGCTGTGGCCAACTACCAGTGTGCCATCAGGGCCATGGCATATGATGGTGCTCGAAAATAACAGTTAAAGCCTAACAAATAATGTTATGAGGGGGTTAATGGATTGGTTGAATAAGAGGATGGTCTAAGAAGAATAAAGGAACGTGAAGCATATGTGGTTCGCCTTAGCCGGAGAACTAAGACTACACCCAATATAAGAGAGTCACTTGTTCCTTGAGGTCATATATTGATTTATGGTGAATACAATGATACTATAGGCGTCAGGCCTTTGCAAGAGCTTAAGCTTCCTATTCTATTTTCACTATTTTTGGCTTGAGAATGTAACGGGGAGGAAGAAGATCCTATATGGTAGGATAACTGCGTTCCATTTATACGAGTCATCTCTCCTAGGGGTTTTGGTGGCTCATTCTCCTTTTTTGCTGATTTCGCGAGCCTTTCTGTCACTATCCTACAACAATCTTTGTTATTTGACGCCACTGTACCCACTATCTCTGGATGGTTATGTGCGTCAACACTCTCTGCACCAGGGAATGCATGATGGTTATGGTTGTCAGGAGTAGTCCCTTTGTCCCCAGGGCACGTGGCGTAGGAAGGCGTTTCAGGATTTGGGCTAGGCTTCCTCCTTTCGGGCTGTCTTTTGGCTGGATTGGATCGGGGTTAGGTTGAGTCACATGTCCTCTGATGCCGTTGGGCTTCGCCCTTTGGGTCATCATGCAAGGAAAAACTTCCTTGACTTATTGGACTCTTGAGTTGTGGTGGCCTATACCCAAGATCTCATTATTATCATTATATATTTTGTATATGATACACAAATCTTTGGTCTTTAGCTGAGTGCAGGTACAAGTAATTTCAAAATCTAAAATCAAAGTGGGGAAGTTCCTATAATCTTGTGCTTTGTGTTGTGGTCAACAATCTTGATCTAATCAATTTGGGAATCTAAGTTCGCCGAATGAATCAAATTCCCCTTTTGGGTTCCCCAGAAATGCTGTGCTTAGACTCTACCTATGATTTTTTTCGGTGGTAAAAAATGTTCGGATTAATTAACGGGTACAGGTACTTCAATTAATTCTCTCTCTGGTCTAGTTAAAAGCATGACATTCACGTCAGGATTAAAATATTTATAAGAGATAAATCTCTCATAATTTAACCTTAAAAGACGATCAAAATTCAAATTCATGATGAATTTACAACTTACCACCTTACGTCCTCTTTGAATTTTCCGATGCAACTCTATCCAAAACAAAAAAGGGTCAACTCACACACAAAAGGCTCCAAAAACGTGTGGGGGCCATGGCGGAATTTCCAGATAAGAGACTCCTTGAGTCCTTAAAAAACTAGTCAGAACAACCCAATCAAGCACGGCAATTAGACGTGACATCTACGTCTCAGTTCAACTTGCATTTATTAAGTTAGTTTATACAGAGCCAGCCTAGAACAAACTCATCCTCTCTCTCTCTCTCTCTCTCTCTCTCTCTCTCTGCACCATGTCTTCATTTCCATCTTCTTCCTCACCAAGAACTCTGAAGATTGGCATAATAGGATTCGGTCCATTTGCACAGTTCCTGGCAAAAACCATAATAAAACAAGGGCATACTATAAGGGCCACTTCCCGATCAGATCATTCCGAACTCTCTGTCCAACTGGGTATCTCGTTCTTTAGGTAACACATATACATTGAAGTGCATATGTGTGTGTGTTCCCGTGCGCACGACCGCGTGGTTCTACTCAAATCCACATTTTCCCATCAAATGAATGCTTAAATGTATATGTTTATGCATGGTCAGGAATATGGATGCATTTCTTGAATCAGACAACGATGTTATATTGCTGAGTACATCAATCCTATCTCTATCAGAGGTGGTCAAGTCCATGCCATTCAACCGTCTGAAAGGGCAAACACTCTTCGCCGATGTACTCTCGGTGAAAGAATACCCGAGAGAAGTTCTACTGCAAGTACACATTTATGATTATAAGATACAAAAACTTGTGTGTGCATTGTTTATGTATGCTTTCAAATGTGCTAAAGTATGCATTTGTGAATTCAATAGACGGTGCCCCAGGACTGCGATGTGCTTTGCACTCACCCCATGTTTGGACCAGAGAGCGGAAAAGAAGGGTGGAAAGACCTAACTTTTGTGTACGATAGAGTTCGGATTAGCAATGAAGCTATATGCCGCAGTTTTCTACAAATTTTCCAAACTGAGGTAAGCACTATAGCCAAGATAGAGTTCTCTAAGGCTTTCCTACCATGGTTCAAAATATTAGCGAGTCATACCCGACTTGACACCTTCCGAAATGATACCATTACACAATACATATAATTCTCGAATATTGCACAACTCAACTAAGTTGTCCGGATCACCGAGTTATCATCACCGAACTGATCGATACGGTTCCATGATGCCACGTTAAGATCTGAATCTCTTGACATGTTCAACATTTTTTTTTAGGTCGAATCGTCCAATATTGTGACACGACGCCACAAGCGATATGACTCAAGAGTTTTCCGAGTTGATAACCAATATCGCAACCTTGAACAATGTTTCCTACCCCAAGCCAACACAAGATATTCCCCTTTTTGGAGTGGATGTTTATATATGAGCAATGTATAAGCCTAACAATAAACAAGGCTGCATTGCAATACTAATAAGATGTTTACAATAACGAACAATAAGGAGCACAATTAGAGTACAAGATTATATGTATTAGATGCACAGATATTTTCTCTGAAGCCCTTCCCTTGTCGACCCCCTCCTAGCGTTCCCGTATCCAACCTAAAATTTTATAATCTGATTTGAATTCCCTATGTTATTTCTGTCTTCCACGTTGCCCGCACTAGGGCAAGAATTGAACACCAGAAAGAAGACCTGCTGAACTACAAGACCTATCCAAGCATTAACCACAAAGAATGGTGTCTCAGGCTCAGACCTGGGCCAAGCTAACTCTCATGCCTCCAGAAGAACTGCAGTTCATTGAAATCAATCCAACAGAAGTTACATTCAAGAAGTTTTAGCTTCTCCACATCTAGTGCAAGAAATCACAAGTCCTAGAAGCTACTCTATCGTCTATCTTCCTAGTGAACGTAGCTCGTTAATTTCCATCAAAATACTAGTTTGCTGTCCTGCTCGGCTAAAAGCAAAATAATTTCTGCCACCATTGACTGAAGTCTTGCACGTACAGTTTCTCAAATTTCATCTGAGAGAGCAAGAATGTATGTCCTACTGGATATGATCTACACATGTTGAAGTCTGGTGCTCTCATTACACTACTAACGGGGTAACGGTTTGCCTAGGGTTGCAAAATGCTGGAAATTTCTTGTGAGGAGCACGATAAATTGGCTGCGCAAAGTCAATTTCTTACTCACACCATTGGCTGGTACTCAATTTTCACCCACCCAATCATCTACTAGCAAACTATATGGAAAAAACAGAATTTAATGGGACGCTATTTGTAAATGTTTCACAGGATGTTGTCAGAGATGGAGATCGGACCCACATCCATAGACACCAAGGGATTTCAGAAGCTTGTTCAAGTGGTATGTGCAATTGTTACTTTTTCCCATACTTTTTTATGCGTGTAGAAGTATCCCTGTAAACATCATGATGCATTTGGAAGCTGAATAGACAAAAAAAAAAATCAACAATAAGATTCTAGATTTTCTTTTCATTTCTTTTTCTTTTTCTTTTTCTTTTGGATGATAGCATAGACTCAAATGATGTGCATGATAAAACATACTAATATGGGACTTATTGCAGAAACAGAGTACAACAAAAGACAGTTTTGATCTGTTTTGTGGGTTATTCATCCATAATAGGTTTGCCAGACAAGAGGTATGGAACTGCTTCTATTGCTGAAATAATTATGATGAGTAATAAATTATTATTGTCATTCGTTCAAGACTGAAACTACATCATGAAACAGGTGCAGAATTTAGAACTTGCCCTTGAAAAAGTTAAACAGAAGCTAAAAGAGAGGATGAATGAGGATCAGGATCGAAGCGTGTCCAACCAGTGAAGGATCCTAGCTGATAAATATTACAATTCATTATGTCTCTTTTTATGTTTGCATCCATTTGTGTAACTGATAATTTATTAAGAGAGCCAAGCATCTTTCTCTAACAAGGTTCCATTAGCAAAAACTTGGTCCAATGAAAAATTTAGTTTGAAGGATACTGGACCCACCCACCCTTTAATATTTTGAGTGATCTCACACTAGATGGAACAAGCTTGAGATCAGCCTTTCAATTTCACACTACTTATCAAGAGACTTTTTTGGCCTGGTCCAGCAATAAATCCCAATAGTCATATGCAAATATGGAAATCCTATTGGGTTTCAAAGATGAGTGAGTCCGTGTGTTATCATCCTAAGCTCAATCTCCAAGACTAAAACCAATGCACCTTACAATTTAGTCAGGTGAATAATCCAGTTATGATTTTGCAAGGAAAACCTTCCAAATACAGTTTAATCAGGTGTTCACATGCCCTCCTGCTTTGCCAGCAATGTTAGTACTAAACTCGCATACTGTATATTGAGAAAAGCACTGAAAAAATGGTCCTAAGCCTACTAATATGATTAAAGTTATTTGTGGGCATGATGCAAGCAATCATCGCCTTGAAAGACCTATACTGTAATATGAAAAAATACCGATGTAGTGCATTGGAACAAATTTTTTATTTTGCACTGTATCTGGCAGAAGAAGAAACACAAAACCCAGCTCGTATGTACTCTAAAGTCAACAGAGATATATATCATTGTCTGCATAGTGTTTGACAAGGATGGTTCAGGAAAGATGGGTTCTCAACTAACGATTGTTCCATTTGATCTTTTGTGGATTAAATTCAAGTAGTCAAGTATACCTCATAAAACAGAAAGACAAATTCATGCCCCGGTGCCCAGCATAAAGCATCATCTCATTGATTGTTGATTTCATCAATACTGGCATCCTTTGAAGTGTTGCATCCCAAAGCAGCATGACTTGGAGAATCTGGAGTTTGGTAGGAAAGTGGCTCATGACTTGGAGAATCTGGAGTTTGGTAGGAAAGTTGCTCACTTTTCCGAGCCTGCAGTCCTGTAAACCGCGCAAGATTGACCCATTGCTGCAGCAAAATGAGAAACATAAGCTGAATCAATACAGATGCTGCAGTCATTTCAGGTAGATGATTTTTGAATAGGCATAGAGATAAGAGCTAGACTCAAGGACACTAAGGCGACTCTAACCTGGGTTCCCCAGTAAGAGTTGAGTGTTCGAACAAGAAAAGATAGCATATTCACAAGTAATGTTTGGTCGGAAAGTCGGTCTGAAATCCGATGCTCTACTATTCCAGCAATAACCTGCAAAACAGTTTATTGAGATGCTGTCATCAAACATATACTGAAGGATTCAGGAACAAACAATATGCCAGATATCTTTTACATTACTGCTAAAAAGGAGGACAGTGCCGTCTCCTTCATACTGTTCAATACCTCCTGCAGTTAACTTTCCATTTGAAAATTACACAATCATAACACCAGTTCAAGATTGTAGATTGAGCACAAAAGGACATTGACATTAAATCTATCGTGCATGTTTGCCTTTGAAATTATGATGTCAAAGACAACTCTTTGGACATAGAACAAAGGGAAAACAAAGGTATCCCTATTTTCAAATGGAAAAAAAGAAAGTAAGTAACAGGAAACAAAAATTCTTAAGGACTTGACATGATAGAAAAACTTCTGATATGGTGTAAACCAGCAAAAATTGATCACTACCTCATGGGCAAACATATGATTTCATAAGAACTAGCTGTCAGAACAAAAATTTATTCCAGGTATTGAGTTGATAGGGCCTCAAATTGATACCTAACATATAGCTTTCAGGCTGTGTCAGAATTAAAATCACAGACCAAAGAGATAACAAACAGACAATCACACAACAGTTTTATGTTCAGAAATTTTTATGTTAATGCCAAAAGGCCCAAAAACATGCAGGAGTGGGTCCAGCACTTGATGGGGCCCCATCATTTTTGAGGCCAAATATACATACATCTGCCCTAGTAGCTTGTTTTTACACTATTCTTACCAATCATGAATTGATCAATCTCATCTTCTCGGGTCTTTCCTCAAAACATACCATTAATGTAGCACAATATTTAGTGTATGAAGCCAATATCATAATTCCGTTAATACAGCACTACTTAAGTTCTTTGCATAATAAACAGGAAATGTTTGCTAGGATGTTATAGATGTCTGACAGCACAAAAGTTTAAAATTAATGATCTGATAACCACATGATATAGACGTTCGAATGTGAATCATTAAAAAGTCACTTTACCTGATAACGTAGATTTGCCGATGTCCCAAGAAAACCTCCATATACAACTGCTGTTTTCAATATGGGTGATCTTCTATTCTGCTGATTAGTAACTATAGCTGGATTCAGTAATCTGCGTACGCCATACAAAATATTTGAGGCAGCCACAGCTCCAATACTAGAAATAAATCCGACACTGGCAAGTTTCAGACCGCCAACAAACACTGATGCCGCTCTATGACTCAAACTCCAGTCCTTTCCACCAAGATTTTTTTGAAATGCATTATCAGGGATGAACCCAAGAAGCCCCTTTAATGCATCCATGCTATTAGGTGCATTCATCTCATCAGTAAAAGAAAGGAACGACAGTGTAGGGGCTGGAAGCCATACAGTAAAAAAATCAACAACTGTTCCTCTTAGTGTGTCTGTAATAACATAATCAAGCTCTTCAAAAAAAAATTCTTTACGCCTTTCATACTGAGCTAAGAGAGTAGTAGTTATTGATATAGCTTCTTCTATAGCTAATCTATGTAGGAACTTGGGATCAGCCAGTAATCTTTCTCTGAAGCCCTGCATGAATATAAGCTGTGGTCAATTTTGAGTTCCTTGCTAACTCATATTAAGGTTGATTGCTTGAAAACAGATCAAATTTAATATCCTCTATCCAACCGTACCTGGAAACGATGAGTGAGTTCTTTGATAAGAGGATATTGTTCAAGATCAAAGAAATTCTGCAGTACTTCCGGAGATACAAGACCAAGATCAAGCCCTTTCTGAATGTCCTGGTAAGCAATGTCACAAAATTGTCTTCATGAGATGGAAAAAGGAAAATCCTTGGGAGTAATACGCATATTCAGCATCAAAATACTAATCAAAGAAGCTTGTTTGGTTATAAACTTGTGATCTTAATATATGTAGACATGCATATTTCTTTTTTTTTTAAAAAAAGGGAAACAATTAACAATTCACTAGAACACTAACTTTACTCAGGAATGTTAGCAAACCATGAAATATGAATACGTTTAGTCGACAGAAAACCCACTTATTTGAGTAACAGTTCAACTTCCTAAATAAGGACTTCTAAAAATTGCAATAAAACTTCACAGGAGCTCTGAAACAGATCTGATTAGCAGCCACCTTAGATCTAGGAAGACCATCAAGAACAACTAACCTGGGGTAAGGCATCTCGCCTCCTGCCAGCTGCATTCATCACTCGGGCAATTTCAGCACGATCAAAGCAATTTCTACTGCATGGTCTCACTGCAGAATACCACAAGAAATCAGCAACAGGAACTTCTCCCTCTCTCCGTATGAATTGTCTTTCGGGATGAAGTAATATGACAACTTGATTTTTCTTTTGCATCTTCTTTGAAATTCTTGCTGGCACCCCAGTCCCTCTTGATCCATATGCAATGTGGCTTGCACCTGTCACCACTACTAGCATACCAGCAGCTCCTCCATCTGTTACTGCTTGCAAGATTATCTGGGACATGGTATAATCCTCAACCACTCTTGCTTGTGCAGATAGATAAGAGCTTGGCCCAAAAGGAGCAGACTTTGGAGGATTTCTATCTGTTGATGGTCTGCGCAAGGTAGATGTAAAGCCTGAAATAAAGCCTGAACCAGCTGGTGGAGCATATTTTTTCCGATCAGATTTAGGAAGCCCACGAATACCTTCAGCTTGAACAGTTCTTAATACCTAGCCAAAAATTCACATCAGAACTGTCAGGCAGATCTCCACTAACCAACTGAAAAAGAGAACACTGGGAAAAGAGTAAGAAAAAGTAAAATGGCAGTTATTTGAAGAAAAAATGACAAACTTAGGAACTCTTTATTATTTTGGCTGCCAAAAACAAACATCCCTAATTTGAATTGTATAATCCTCATAAAACCTAGCACTTAAAGCTTAAGATGTAACAACTACAAGATTACCACAGTTGCGATGAATAAAACTCATTCTTCTGAATTGATTATTCCTCTGTGAAAAGGTTATGGCTGGCAAAAGGTTTATGAAATGAAGGTGTATTTAGCATTTAATGATGTAGTAGCATATCATAAAACATCCTTTAGTTTATCTCACTCAATCCTCTCTTTTTGTGAGAGAACTACTTCAAAAGCACAGTTGTATGCAGTTAGTGTCCTTTAGTTAAAATTGAGTATTCAACTTCATCCATTTAATTTAGATCACATGGCCGTCTGTTTTTAGCCATATGTATCTAATATATTTCCTATCATACTGAACACGAAGAACATTCCCAATTGTGCTCTCCTATTCATATAAATATGTTAAAAAAGTACCTCAAGTGGTGTACCACAGGCAACAAGCTGAACTCTGTTATCCCGACAGTAACTCAAAAGAGGCTCATACTCCTGCCAGCACTGAGGTAGCCAATGGGATACAAAAGACTTCAAGATGTCTGCATCAATCCTGCCATCGGATACAAGAGTGATGAAATAAAAGAGAGGACACAAAACCAGAATATTTGTACTTTCCGGCAAGCAAAAAAAATAATAATAATTGCAGTCCCAAAAATGCAATCATCACATCCAAAATACTGTTCATTGAGAAACCTTCAGTTGAAACAAACTAAGCACGTTCTAAAGAATGCATGGAATACGGCAACAATAAGGAAAATGAAGTGACAGTATTTGTAGAGAAGATCAATAGGGTAGGTTAAAAAAGAAACAATGAAATGATCGACTAAAATTTCATAGTCAATATGAATGTAGAATGGTGATCCATTGTACTAAAGTTACCCTCACTTTCACAGAGGGGAGACAAGTGAAGCACACAAGACAGCCTCAGGAAATGAGGGGATTTCTCAGAAGCCTCAAGGTAGTTAGAAACTACTGTAAAATATTAGAAAAGGTTCTAACACCTAAAATAATATGCCATATCTCTAAACAATTGGTCAATTATTGTCCCCTTGTTTTGCATAAGAGACATGAGCTAAATTATTTTCCTCCATGTTTTTGCCCAACTTGCATCAACTTAGATAAGAATAGTGAATGACAAAAGAAAATTTTTTCATTAAAATAAATCAACCCCATCCAAAATAAAAATTTAATTCAAACACTACTCTGTTTAATGTTCAACATAGCTCCTATTATGCAAAAGAAGTGTGTTGCCTAAGCATGATCAAAAATTTTAGTATCAGCCATCAGCAACAACACCCAGTTGATGGGATTCAAACATAAGTATTAACCTTCAGCAAGTTATTCACATAAGCCTTTCGACATAACAATTACTTGCAGAAGTTAGCCTTCCTGTTGATTCTTTTGAGGCAAAATACAGTTAGATGAAACAATTTGATTCTTTTGCTGCAGAAATTTGCAATTCTTTGTGCCTATATAAAATAAAAATTCAATCCATTACACCGTCTGAACCTCAAACGAGTTTAAATCTGGGATAACCAATTCTTGCAAGTAGGACCAAAGATTACGTTGTATCCACAGGATCCCTCGCATCGCTCTCAGATGAGGGGAACATAAATCTGGATCAATTTTTTTAAAAAACCTTTTTAACAGAATTTGAGCCACCATGTACTTTCCAATAACGAAGTTCACTAAATTATCAGGTATATAACTACAATTGATCAGTGTTACTAAACAATGACAAAATTCATAGGGAGAACAAACCTTTTATCCATGTACTGATTGAGCTGTTCTTGTAGATTACTAGGAAATGCCTCCAAAGCCAAAGA